AGTTTATGCTTGACTTATGTTTTTTAATTTATAAAAAAAATTTTAAATAAAATGGACGATTAAAGTTGAGCACAGAAAATTATGGCTTCACTCGAAATGGGATGGAGGGAGTAGTCAACAATAATGCAATAGTACGTTTTTTAACATATTAGCTAGCTCAAATTGATCCCACTGTCAAATTGCTCGAGCTAATCGTGGCATAACGCATGTACAAGACTTAACCGATCAAATAAATTAAAACAACTGTGTGCCCCGATGAGCGCGGGCAATTTGACAGTGGGATCATATTGTGGCTCATAATACAGAGTGGAGGCGCTTACAAGAACAATATTCCCTTAGTTGCCAATTGCCATTGGAATAGGCGCAATCAAAGAATTGATTCCCGTGTGATGGCTCCAACACTCTAGCTACGTCCCCATAATGACTCCAACTTTACAGGCAACCCACGTGAATTGATATGTTCCATGGGATTCACATAACCAAAACAAATTATATAATGAAGTGACTGGTTGCTTTATAACATACTCCCTCTGTCCCATATCCCCTTATAGATTGATTCTTTTTGGACGGAGGGGTAGGTGACTAAACTGTGCCTATCTTACAAATTATGGTAATTAGTTCGTACCCCGCACTTTGCTACAGAATAAGTGGATGAATACATGCTATATATTATAGAAATGGTAGATATATATTTAAATAATATAAAAATGATGTGAAGATAATTAATGATTTGACAATGCTTGCATATTGAGTTATAAAAATATAACAAAATTATAAATGATATGTCATATTTGCATGATATTTGAAATAGTCTAGATAATAATTACTAGTGGGTGATGATGTGGTGCACTTACATATGATTTAAAATACTCTAGATAATAATTGCTAGTAAGTAATGATGTGGCACACTTGCATATGATTTTAAAGACTCTAAATAATAATTGATAGTAAGTGACGATGTGGCACACACTTGTATTTTAAGCTTTAAAAGTTAGTGGACATCAATATTATAGTAAGATAGGATACCAACAAGGCGACGAGATGATCTAACGATGGATCTAATGGTATTGGGTCTCCAATTACAAGCTAGCATCGAAGCTCCATTCTTGTTTTCTCATAGGTCCATGCTCTCCCTAAACAATAGATCTTCTCATGCGATATAGCCTAGGTTTTTTTTTTATATAACAAAGCAACTTATTGAAAAGAAAAGTTCAGGAGACATAAAATCCCCGGTACATCACCTGGATTAAAATTAAAGATAATATAGAACAAAAGCATCCCTTCTGCAAGTAAGTGTATAGTTGAACTAAGAGAAATAATTTTGCAAATGAAACCATGCAGCAATAATGAATGGGGTCGACAGAGGGATACGACATTATTGTTGTGATGACTTCATCCTCCACAGGCCAGATCTATTACTAACGTACGCACCGCTTAGGTGGCCCTGTCAATGTGATTCACCGGACTCAACAAAATATGTCACTAATTTATTGGTTAAATCAGATGCACCCTCTTGTCTAACCTAAGTAAGCTATGCTAAACCAAATGCACCCTATATATATACACATAAATATTATATATTTGATTTTTAAATAATTAATTAAGTTGATCACCATGAATCATCACGCAATATATACACATCTAAAATCACACATAAGCGAAGTGGGCGTAACTCAACTAGTTAGATTTTTTTGTGGTGGAACCAATCCATCCGGGTTCAAGTTCTAGACTTGATACGGGTACTCGCATTTATGGCAAATTATTCTTTCAGTAGTAGACGATGTACCCATTGACATCGAGACACCCATGGTGACTTTATTAATCTCAAGATATATTGGCTCAGTCTCGCGAAGATGCTTATAGGGGTAGAAATCACATGTAAGAGATTAGATTCGCAGATACGAGTCTTGCGAAGATGTTTATACGGGTAGATATCACAGGTAAGAGATTAGATTCCTAGATACGAATGTAGCCCGCCACACACTCACATAAGAGATTACATTCGCATATATGAAAGTAGCTCGCCATACAGTCGACGACTGGTCACGTAACCGAGAACTGGACCATCCAGTACGCTCTCTTGCTGAATACTCAGCGGTGGGTTAATTAAAGCTGAAGAAAAACCTGTGTGGGCCGTGGGCAACTGGGGCATGCACCGTTGAGGACTGCAGTGCAGTAGGCCCAGCTGAACTCACATGGATGGATGGATGGAGGGACCGAATGGCTCAGCAGCACACAACTGCATGCAGTACGGTCTTATGGCCAGCCACTCCTGGATTTTTTATATTTTAGCCCTTCTAAAATATATGTTTTACATATAGGTCCCCAGAAAACTAATTATAGATATGGTATGGAACCACCTTGGTGCTACGGATATTGGCACCAAGATGGGATGCCTTAAGACTAAATATGTTGAACGCCGAGGTTGTTTTGGTATTGACGATAGGCCGAGTATTGAGTTGCCATCAATTTTTGGAAAAGAAAAAACCTAACAAATCGATGTATCCTAGTTCATTCTGATAACTTTTTTAGTGAAAGCTTAATCTGAGAGAAGAATGTCGATCATTCACTCCTCCCAATACCTAAATTCTCTTGATTTGCTATTAAATTTTGAAAAGAGGCAAAATTGGATTGTGACTCATTATTTGTAATTTTTTCCCCAAAGCTAACCAACAGGATTTAGGTATTCATTTAAAAAAACAGGATTTAGGTATAATGAGGGAGGGACATACATCCTCCCCCATATTAAGATTTGGTAACTAAAAATAAATAAGCGGTAATGAATTATGATACATCGAATTTGTAAGTTTTATCCCAATAAATTAGCATCAAATCAGTAGGATTTGGACAAAACCTAGATGGTAGACTAGCACCAAATTGATTGGCGCCGTAATAAAAACGTCAGCACCATATGGTGCTGAGATATCCCACCTCGGCATCCCTGAGAGTCTATTTGTAAAATACGTTTTTTCAGAGTGTGTTAAAAAAATATTGAAACTGGAGGAGGTCCCGAGCCACGCGTCCATGCATGGCCGGGGAGATATTATCGTCGCAGGCTAGCTTTGTAGTTGTATGTGCCTATCAACCAGCCGGCATGATCTGCTGTAGCGAGCAGGACAGACAGAGGCTGGACCTGGGTTGGACCACCATGTTGTGGCCTATCTCCTGCTTGGTCTGTGTACCACACTACTAGTTTAGTTAGCTAGTAGATGACTAGAGGTGCATATGGTTTTATACTGGAGCATTATTGGATATATATTGTATATATAGCTAGCTACCGTATAAAGAATCCATCCGCTGTCAACGTTCTAGAAACTTCTGTTTCTCTACACGCATGCATCTATATCATGGGGTCAGATTCAAGTGGTATTAATACAACGACACCGTTCTATGTATGGTAATAACCAGCTACCTCAGTCTCATATGTAGTTGTTACTAGTATACTCAAGAGTGCATGCACTTTTTTTCTTTTTATGGAATTTTTTCTTAGATTACCCATCCGATTTACGATCCGATTACACCATTGTGTTCGTAATAATTAAATCTTTATAACAAGATCTCACATCACTATATTTATATGAAAAAAATAGAAATTACTTTTATAATATATCTAAATTAGTTTTAGATTTCATTAAATCACTTCTTAGTCATAAAAGTAATTTAATAAAACCTGAAAGTAATTTACCTATATTATAGAAGTAACAAAAGTGAAGTAACTTGTCAAGACATCGAAAGAAATCTATACATTCGTGTTATGAGTTGTTTATTATATAATCATTTTTAGTCAATGATGTAATTTATGCTGATTAAATTTAGTTTCTACATAGACTCATGTTTTTACCTCCGTAACTGATTTACTTTTAATGTCATGATAAAGTTACTTTCTTTTTTTCTAAGTTACTTCTATAATATATGTAAATTACTTTTAGGCTTTATTGAATATACTTTTATGTGTCTGAGAAGTAATTTAGTGAAATCTAAAAGTAATTTAGATATATTATAAAAATAATTTCTATTTTTTCATCAAAATATAATCATGTGAGATCTTGTTATAAAGATTCAATTCTTACGAACACAACGGTGTAATCGGATCGTAGATCGGATGATTAGTTTAAGAGAAAATTATTTTTGAAGCCGGCGTAGTGTAGAGCATCACATGGCTTCCAATTTGGATCCCTCTAGATGATGCCACGTCCGTGAATCACCAGGCTATGTACGGACGCACCAGCACTTGTGGAATCGGACGGCCGATGAGCGTGTTGCGCGATAAGGCAAAACGGAGAGCGCACGCGGATTAGATTTTGCCTAATATTATATATCTGACCACAGATTTATTGGTGGTACCACGCTCGTATGGGTACCACTCCTCTAGGCTCCTAAGCTAGCTTTCAGTTTCTGTCCTGAAAAAAAAGAGAAAAAATAAATTATTAATAACTGATAATCGAAAAAAATATGTTGCGCACTTTCTAGCATATATTCGAACCCAATCTAATAAACCTGTTATGTGACCCTAGCTTGTTGATAGGTGGGACTTAGCCTATTCAAATATTAATTCTTTAAAAAATCACTAACGTTCGTCTCATGGGATAGTAAGCATGGGGATTTTAGTACCACCTTACCTATTCTAGGAGTGGAAGATCTCCTTATAAGGGATGATACTCTCCTAGCCACTTGAGGCATGTGAGGTCAGAGGCGGGTCTAGCTATGATTCAGCGGTATTCATATGTATACTCAAGATTTTTGGAAAAAAAATTGGTATATATACTATATAGTTCTTATATGTATGCAAAAAGTTTATATGTATGCAAAAAGAATATATACTATATAGTTCTTATATGTATGCAAAAAGTTAAAGAAAAAGAGTTAAACTACTCATTTGGACCTTGTTTTACCATTTCTGCTGTGTTGGGTCTAAATTTTCTACTCCTTCCCCCTTTTCACTTGGCCCGCATTCTACTTGGGCCGCAACTGAGCCCATTTCGAAACAAAAATCCCCTCCCAGGCAGCTCCCAAAATCCCCAATCCCAAACCCTAAATTTGCAAGGAGCCAGGCGGCGGCGTGCGTTGCAGCGGCACTCGGCAGGCGCGGCGTGCGTTGCGGCAGGCCGGCGGCGGGCGCGGCGTGCGGCGGCGGCGAGCCGGCGACCGCGGGGCAGCAAGCCAGGCAGGGGCAGCCGCCGGCTGGGCGCACCATTGCAGCCGCAGCGGCTGTCGGCCGAGCAGGCGCAGTGCGTCGGTGTCGCCGGCTCGTTGACTCAAGGGACGGGCCGCGCGACGCTGTGGCCTGTCCGCCTGTGGGGCGTGCCGGCGTGGGCGGCTGGACGCCGAGCCACCTTCCCCTTCCGCCGACGCCTGACGACCGAGCGGGCGCGCCGCCTTCCCCTTCCGCCGGACCAGGCTCGAGCGATGGGCTGCGCGGTGCTGTGGGGCGTGTCGGCGTGGGCGGCTGGGCGCCGAGCCGCCTCCCCTTCCGCTGATGACCGAGGCCAGGTGCTGAGGCGCCACTCGCTGACGCCGAGACGCCGACAGGCCACACCGCCACAACACTGCCACCACGCACAGTGAGTCAAAAGCACAAAATTTGAATAATTGCAATGAAGATTTTATGATTGAAAACTGCAATTGATTGATTTAGTGTACTTGCTTGCTTGCTTAGTTTGTAGAATTGTAGTTGCCTAGTTTGTAGAACTGTAGTAAGATTTCTTCCCAATTTATCATTTTCTATCATTTTTCTATTCCATATGTTGGCACTTTGATATGTTTATTATTAGTATTTCTATATGTTAAACAATTTCACATGATGATCAATTCTATCAATGTGTGAACTAATACTCAATTTTATGTTATATACGCTATATATTATATAATTATTAGTGTGTGATACTATACAAGCTAGTTATTAGGTTTTTAGGTGTATGAACAAAAAATTTTCCTCTCCCCATTTCTAATACACAAGTTTAAAACCCTGGGGCCGCCACCGTGTGAGGTGGAGAGAACAACGGGAATACACAAGCGCGGCGCATACGTGGTGACATGCGTGTCGAATGGTTCGTCAAAATTGGTCCCTCACTTTTGCACAGATACAGTATTCTTTTGTAATTTTGTTTTGCTGCACAAAATTCGGTTTTGTTTTTAGAAACACAGTGAATAATCTGGTGCGAGGAGCGGAGTGAAGATTATGCAGGCGCCGCCACCTCCACGTAACACACACAAAATCAATATAGGGTTTGCCTCCTCCTCAGTATTGCACCGTCACTTGTAGTCTACTCCATCCCGCTCGCTGGCGTGCACCGGCAATCGAGAGAGCAACTCTCCAGAACCTTCGCCTTCGACGTCCTGCACCAGGAGAAGATGACAATAATGTTTTTGCAAGCGCTTTGCGTGACTGGTTGCTGTTCCTCCACAATGGCTCTTCTTCCTCTTCTCTCGGGTGTTGCTTGTTGTCGTCAATGCCCGATACCGCGAGTCATTCCTGTTGTGCAACCGATCTTCCAAAGATTGTATGATATGATTATGCTAGTTTACATATGTAATGTCATGATTTATTTATGAAATAAATTAAATCAATATATGAATCCAAAAACCTTATTATAGGCAATGTGATTTTAATATGGCTAGTTTTGCCGATGCACTGAGGCCGAATAAATTCACCCGTGTGCACTTTTGGGTCTATGATTCACCCGGATATATATATAAAGCAATCCTAATTGCCCATAGAAAGGGAACACATGATAGTTATCATTAGGTGGGTTCCAAAGAAGAGAAACCAATGATCTAACGGATCACAGATTTATATAAAGTAGCTGTCGACGTTTTGGGTCACAACTAAGGTATTTGCATGGTATGGGGATCGTTGGTACCAGGGTATATGCGAGGTCGAGGTAAAAGAAATAGAGATAAGGATTTTTATGTAGGTTCGGGCCCTTTCACACGAAGGTAACGACCCTACTCCAGTTGGTCGAAGCCGATGTTGCTCTTTATTCATTTGAATCACACAAGTACAATAATTGGGATAACCTATCTAGCTGTCGTCAACTTGGCGGCATGGATCACCAACACGTAGTCGACGATAGGGTAGTCTTCCTCCTCGAGTACGAACTCGTCGAGATCCTATATAGCACTAGATTCCTCTTGTCGGCCTCCGCAGGCACCATATTGAGTCCATCTAGGCTATCTCCAATATCGATGTTTGGCGCCGTGTGTTGGTGTTTATTCTGACTGGTGTCTCTGTTTTTTGTCTTCCCTCCTCCTAGGGGGTTGTGTATTTATACCCATAGATGTCCCCTTGTCCAAGTAGAACTAGGGAGACAAGTATGGATACGATTCGAGTAGTCCTTATTGTTTCCATATAGAACTCTACTCGTCCTTCCTTATCTAGAACTTCTTTTATATACGAGGTATGATTCCATATATGATTTGATATATGGTGGGCCCTTCCGAGCTTAGTCGATTACTATTGGATATGTGGTATCCATAACCCTAACAGTAGCTCCTGACTTCAATGCAAATGAATGAGTTGATGTTCTCGACCGAAGACCTTGGAATAACAATTGCCGTGCTCGCTTGACATTCTCGGATGACCGAGAAGGTGCGGAGTATACGACTTAATTCTTTATCTTGCCGTAATCAAGAATTTGGATTGAAGTCAAGAAATTTCGTCTCGGCAGGTACACCATCGCTTTATTCCGTAATCCTTGTCAAACTCCAGCAACCGTTCTCGAGTAATCGAGTAGTTGTAGAGTCTGCGACAAAGTCTTGAAGTCTGACTTTCCTGAAATCAAAACACATAATAGATTGTTAGATACAAATAGCCCCCGAGTGAACGCTCAAGGGTAACATGATATAATATGAATTTGAAAATTGAAAATAAATTGAATTTGCATATGACAATAGTGTAAAGGAATGATAGGATCGACTTCAAGATAGGGCGATATAAGAAAAGGGGATCAACGGACAAATATTGCACATACAAACACTTACATAATTTGAACGACATGGGTTGATGAGGTGACTACCACACAAGGCGAAGACCGAGTGTGTAGTTGTACTCAACAAATTGCAGACGTAGTGGGAGAATCATTACGCCGCTGATCGATGACCAGTTGTAGTCGTACCTCAAATCGCGGGGACTGCTACGTAACTGGTCTACAACCGACTGGTCGACAATAAGGAGTAGGCATCTATCGATCACCTTGTTGGCGGCTGTTAAATGTCAATTCTATACCGCCAACATCTGCATAAAGTTCAGATAATAAAACATCCAACAGAGTGATAGGTGCTTACTCTCATATATTCCACAAGTGTTGGTATATATTTGTATGCAGACGATAAACGCCGATGTTGGGAGGAAAATCAGACTACAGTGAGGAGAATCATGTATCTATACAAGGAGGGGTTGTGAACTTGATCCAAATACCAGTAAATCAACCCAAAACTCCGAGAAATGGATAGAGGAGGTCCAGGGGAGAAGATGGGCCAAGAGCTAGGCCAGTTGGGCCCAGCCCAGGTTCGGCCGAACCAGGGGGTTCGGCCGAGCCACAATCTCAGCCATCCAGGCTGGGGTTTGGCGTGGACGCTCCAAATGCTCTCCAATGACGGTTGCGGGGCAGTTCGGACATTTCCCCTTCTCACAACCGTCATTACTGCCCTATAAAAGGACATCACCTCTTCACTTCACTCACACACTCCAAGCTTGAGCTGAATTATAAGAGGCTCTATTGTACTATATTGTATACTAGAATAGGAAGAAAGTAGAGTAGAAGAAGTCGGAAGAATTCCAGAGTTGTCGGTAATCTTCTCCTATTTCTTTTATTCTGTTTATTACTCTGAATTCAATATAATATTCTTCCTGAGAAATTTAGATTTATCTTGTGAGAATTATCTCTTGGTTAGTTCCTAAATAGCATACAAGATTATTGTTCACTGTAATCAACTAAAATATAGTGATTGCTTTGGTGAGTTATAAACACTAAAGTAGATAGTAATTGCTTAGATGTGGTGTTTAGGTAATTGTTATCCAGTAATTGCTGCATGTCCCACAGAACGTTTGAGGTGGGTGTAGAGGTGATGACAGCCCTCGAGATCACTTAAGTCCTCCCTGTCCGGGTACGTAGTAGAGCGACATCTGGAAACAGCGGGTTGCCAGTGCCTGAAGTATTGCATTAGGATTAAAGTTAAGCTTTCCCTAGACACTGTTTCTCACTAGTAAATCCTCTCTATCCTAGCCTATCATTTGCTTGGTGTCCTTGGATGAACCGAAGAAAGATTTGACCACACACGTTCCCTTGGATTCGATACCCTTGGAATACTCCGTAGGGAAAGTGCTACATCGGTATATCCGTGCGCTTGCGGATTTTATCTGTGACCGTATTAAATACCAACAAGCATTTCTGACGCCGTTGCCGGGGAACGGTTGCTGATCATTTCTGAACCTAGTTCATCCTCATATCCTTTTTATTTTTTTTATTTCTACCTTCGCTCCTGCTATACTAGAGAAGTATTCCTGTCACTCTTCTCGACCATGGAGCAACCTCTTTTTGAGCTGTCTGCTCCTCGGGGCGAATTCTATGAGCCACCTCCTTTATTGGAGCCCATTTACACAACTAATCAGTATGGTTAGGGAAAATCCTTTTTCTGGCTTTGATCTAGAAAATCCCTACAATCATCTGCGAGACTTTGAACAAGTCTGCTCATGCCTTAAGATTCGTGGCATGAAACAAGAAACTGTGCGGTCGAAATTGTTCCCGTTCTCTCTTCAAGAGAGAGCAAAGCAATGGTACACCTCTACCGTTGGATGTGTAAACGGTAGTTGGGAAAAGTTGCGAGACAGATTCTGTCTTGCCTTTTTCCCAGTTACCCGTATTACTGCCCTACGAGTAGAAATTCTCAGTTTCAAGCAGATCGAAAACGAATCAATCAGTGCAGCCTGGTCCAGATTCACTAATTTAGTGCAGTCCGTACCAACCCTGTCCTTACTCGAGTATGTGCTTATGCAACATTTCCATACGGGTTTGGATAAGGAGTCTGCATTCTATCTGCACATAACCACTGGAGGATCGTTCATGCACAAAACACCGTCAGAAGGAAGAATAATGTTGGATCGCATTCTAGAAAATACTTCCTTCATGACGCAAACCAATGAAAACCAGTCGAAGGCATCAGTGTCCAAGATAGAGGAACCTCTAACGATGAAGCCACTCGCTCAACCATCCACTTCTGCTAGCTCGATTGATGAAAAGGTTCCTGAGCAGCCGTCCGTCGAGAATGAAGAGATTCAAACTCCGGATCGAGAGAGCTCCACTACTCATCGCTCTCCTCCAGTTGTCCACTAGACAGCGCTAGGGTCACCACCTAGCTGCGTCGCCACCACCGTCGAGCCTGTCTGCCCCTCGGCCACCGTTCGGTCATCGCTCCCCGTCGCCGGAACCCACTCTTCTTCAATTGCAAGTGATCTTCTTCTTGACCCTTCTCATCTCCTCCTCTACGGCTCGCCGTAGCCCGTCTGCTCCTTGGCATAACGTTGCCATCGTCCCGCGCTCTGCGCTGGTCACCGCTGTTTCCC